AGTTAGTGAGGACGAGATCCTTGCTCCATCCTTCGCCCATCTGAATGCCATTTTGCAAGCGCTCGAAATGAAAGCGGCCCCGGCAGAAGTTAACTTGATTATGCTGCCGGGACATGTTGTTGATCAACTTGCGTGAGATTTAATAAAATTGACGAGGTGAAAACTTCAAAATTAAGGAGCACTTGGCGTTGACACAGTTGACATAAATAGCGAATGAAGTGAGTGCCGTATGAATTATTAACTCAACAGCCTTGAGACCTTTGTGGGAAAATGTTATTTATTTCAAGTGTTTCAAGGTTAAAAGGATTTTATATAACTATTCATCAAAATGTTATTTTGTTTTAAGTGTTGATAAACCAATAATAAATCCACCTTTTTATTGAATTCATAATCAGTTCAATTATTTACGATACTTTCAATTAAGTAAAATTCACAAAATTACAGCTAGAAACCTAATAAATTTATCTAAGATAGCGAATCATCAATTTCAACTCAATTATTACAGGGAATTACTAATTAAACAGTTTCGCCTGACATGAAAAACCCGCTGAGCATCCATTTGGGGTCCAATTCCCACAGCTTTGCGAAATCATTTCCGTATGCTGAGTGGCATACATATTGCATGGAGAACGGACTTTGCATTTTCGGGCGAACTTCTGCTGGTGTTATATTCCTGGCGGAAATTGGGAGCAGCAGTCGCTACGTGCCGCAAAAGCTGCCAACTTGCAGCAATTTTTCACATTCTACCGCCCCTACACACCACACCCCGAATTTTCGACCCGGGTTCATGGGGTCGTAGCACGCAATTACGGAGGATTGGCATTACCAGGACTTCCCGGGATCAGACAAACTAATATCCATTTCGGCTTGTCCCCTGTCCAAAACAAAACGCATTAAGGCGGAAGTGCATTTCGGGTTTATTTTGCATTTCGCAGAGACATGCACGTATTCATATTTACCTAAATAACTACTCAAAAGTGAAGGGAAGGAGGTGAAGGGGGTGCAGCAGCCGGGGGTAGGACGTTCTCCTGTTGTCCTTTTTATGATGGGCATACAAATGCTGAGCCAAAAGGATTTTACTTACAAACGAGCGAGCAGAGGAAAAAGTGCAGAAGAATCGCATTGTCTCTTTGCCAGGAAAAGGACGGAATGACGAAGGACGAAGGACGAACGACGACGAACGTGGAACTGAGGGGTCATAAGCCGTTGCATAGACAAGCGCACAAGGATATGTAGTGGCATAAGGATTTGTTTTGCCCGACTGCAGATGATGAGGATGATGATGAGCCGGCGCTCCTTCGCCTCTCAACTTATGTGCAGTCACGGTCTGTCTGCTTTGTTGTCCTGACACGAGCGCTGCCTGCCTGCCTGCCTGCCTGCCGTCTCTTTCTCGCCGACAGTTGCCGTCTCTTTCAGTGTCGCATCTTGTCTGGGACGTGGGACATGGGACATGCATAAGTGGCTGCCTCACAAAACTTGTTATTTGTATTTACTTTTGATTGTTGCAGCAGCATTTTGTCTTCCTTTTTTTTCTCCTTTTTTTTGTCCCACTGCAGACAAGTGTCAACAGAAAAATTGCACTTAACTTTAACTTTTATTCTCAGTTGCTACTCTCAAAACAATTAAATGCCCCATCGCATTCCACCTTTTTTTACTTAACTATTTTGGGGCCGCTGCATTTTTCATGGGCCAACTGTCAGGCTTCTTTGTCCTTTAAAATTTGCATCCGGGCATTTCTTCATTTCTGCTATTTGTTTTCCGTTGACGTCACTCGCTGCAAAATGAACTGTCAAATGGGAAAATCGAAGGAACGAAACGAGGCTGTCACTGACTGAATGATATTTTAATGGGCTCTTTCCATCTGATGTTGAGAGGATATGGGAGAAGTGAGATAAGATGAAAAAATATTTGTCGAATGTCTGCCAAAGGAACGCTGAATAAAAGTATATTTTGATTGTATTTTACATAAGATATGTAATCCTTTACAGCATCATGTCATTTAAAAACATTTCTAGAATAAGTTTTTTGTCAAACTTTATTTCATTATTACTGTTTTACTGTTGTAATAAGTTTTTTTTTTACTTTTTATTTTTAATAGATTATTTTTCTTTATAGAAATGACTTCCTTAAGAGTGGATAACTTTAAGTTTCCAAAAATTTGTTAGCTTCTTATGAACATGAATGTCTTTATTGAATGGCGAGTATGGTCCATGGATTCCACTTCACCGAACCGAACTCATTCAACTGCATTGGCTGGCTAAAAGGCCAACACATGACGTCAGGAACAGGTCGGAATTTCCCTTGCCCATTTTGCCCGCAGTTTCCCAGCTCCTCTGGACCATCGGAAATAAAAGACCCCTGCTGCTTGTTGGCCAGTCACCCACAAATAGCATTTTGTGTCTATTTTAGTGTAATTTTCCACTTAAACGGTTTTTTCTCTCGCAGGCAGCTGGAAAGCCTTTGGAAATCCCCCTCTCGATGCCGGCAAGAAGTCATCTACTTGTGCTGCGTCTGGCAGCCGCCAAAAAATGGCAAGTTGGAATGAAAATTATTGGTTTCCCCCTCCCTTTTGCCAAAAATGGGTAACCGAAAGAGGACGAGGAAAAATATATGGACGGCTCCAAATTGAGTTTGAGCGGTTTTACCAACACGCCCCGTAGTTTTTCACTCTTCTGGTATCGATTTCAATTGTGCTAAGGCAACTGTATCTCAAGCCCCTCCCCGATTTTCCACCACCCACCACCCATCCCCCTCCTCCAACTGGCCCACTCTCCCCCCCTTTTGGCCAACTTCAAAGTGAGCAGCGTGCAATGAAATTGACACCCGCAGCGTCGACTCCATTGGAACGAAACTATGGATGGGTGAAAAATAAATGTGTAACGAAATGGAAGCATCTCGCAGCGCCCCTTCCATTTTGAACCCTTTCTCCGCTGCCATTTGCCTTGGCAATAAAATCATTTTAATGAGATTCAAGCTTAAAATTTCGCGCTTTATTTACGTGAGTGTTGTGCATGAGCGTTGGGATGAAGGGGATGAAGGGGGAAAGAAAAAAGCCGCTGGCCACAAAGGGCATGGCATAAAAGTGGGCAGGAGCGTGTTAACTTTGATGGCTGAAGAAGAAAGTTAACGACTTCCTGCTACTCATCATTCATAAAATCGAATAAGGTCAAATTAAAATTGATTTCTTACTTTTTTTTAATGAAAGACCCCAATCTCTTTAATTATTATATAAATAATTGATATATTTTCTTTAAATATAAAAAATTTTCTGAAGAAAATATATTGCATTTAAGTTGTAGAACTTTTTGTTACAATAACGACCATTAGATTTACCACATTTGTTCTTCCAAATTGTGGGTAATATTGAATGCTCTTTTGCATAACATAACAAATTTTTGGCCGAACATACCCGAACTACATGCGAAACTTGTGCGCTGACTCAATTATGTAACTCAACGAGAAATTTAATTAAAAGCATGCAGATGATTTAATTGATTCCTGTGTATAACGCATACGCCGTGTGGGCACCCGCTGACCAACCAACCAACGAACACTGGCTAAGCAGCCCACTTAGTTAGAGTTGGGCAAATATTTTAACAACTTTGTTACGGCGTTTTTATGAAAATTGGACAGTAGCGAAAAACAGAAGGCGGCTGCTAAGTTGAAGGCTCCGAGATGGAGGTTTACACAGTTAATAATAAAAACCATTTACTATGCAAATATTTGATCGGCTGGCAGGTCAGCGAAGGCGAACAAGGCGAAGAAGGATGCCTTTCCCCAACTCGAACTCGAACAATTTTTCACGCTTAGCGTATGGGAATTTTCAATTTTGGACACGAGATGAAAGATGAGCGAAGTCAGAATCCAAGTTGAGTGCCAGGAAATGTGTTTGCGATGGGCTAAGTATGACTTACAGTATGCATATGCATTTCATAGCCACCCTCCCGACTTTTAGTTCGGTCTCGTGTTTGCTTTGACTTTGAGCGAGGCAGCCATGAAAAATTAAAAAGGGATCTTCGTGCGGCAGCTGAAAAGCATTTTCCACTAGTAACTTGAACAACTTTTTCCACTCGCTCGCCTGTCAGCATTTTCTTCTCGATTTTTCGCCGCCTGCGAGGAGATGATGTATGTTTGTATGTCGGACAAGTGCTTGAGTTCGAGTGGAATGTGGTGGTGGTGCTGGATGTGGGTTAGTCAGTCAGCCAAGCATGTGGCTTGCATTTAATTACGGGGATTTCCCCGGATCCCAGCCACAGACTGCCGGATGGGGGAGCTAATTGAGCTGCGAGCAAGTGAATTGCCAGGGCCAATATTCTGCGGCGAAAGCACTTTCTCTGGCCACAAGTTTGGGGCACACAATAAGGAGGTTAACAAGTCAGGGGTGGCCCGAGGATTATGGTTTCAGGGCGGGGACTTTAATTATTATTCATCGCTCTCCTTCAAGTAGTTTTTGGAAAATTGAGCACCCTCCTTCCATGTCTTGTAAATTAAACAAAAACATTATTTCAAAGCACTTTCAGGAGCTTAATTTGAATTTAAATTGTGTAATGCCATTCGATGTAGGTATTTTCCAATGCATGAAATGGTTTATTCAATTGGGTTGTTCAATGATGGAAACCTATAAATTTATATATTCTTGGTTAACAATTGTGTTCATTACTATAGTGCAAAAAGTTACTCTTCACTATAAAATTTCCATCAAATTTTTCACTAGTGAATCCATCACACTAGTCTGTCGTTCCAGACGAAGGAAATCCTATCTATTCCATTCCCTTTCCCAACTTTTTTTCCAACAATTTTAGCACAACTTTTTCCACTCCGAACTCGTCCGAAATTGCGATAGGTCAGGTTCTGTCAACCCCTGAAAAATGTAGCAGCTTCCATTAAATTTTGCTGCTCGATTTGCCGGTCAAAGGTGACCATTGACATCAATTTGCCGCCCCCTACAGTAAACTCTAAATAAAAAATATATAAAAAAGAAACGAAACGTTGGGGCTTACCTTGTGCAATAATAAAAATTCGTTGTACAAGGTAGTTGGCAACTCGTAAAAGTGTTGCCAATGTTGATGTGGCTGCTGCTGTTGCTTTCTTTGTTGTTATTTTAGCATCAAATGCTTTGGCGAACTTTTGGCTTAGTTGTTGTTGGCGATTTGTTGTTTGTAGCTTTTGTATTAGCCATAGAACATAGTTGTTGTCCCCGTTGATGACCGAGTGGCCGGACCTGCTGCTGCTGACGATGTTGATATTGCTGCCGTGATGATGTTGCTGCTGCACTTGCTGTTGCTGTTGCTGCTGCCGTTGATATTGCTGCTGCTGTTGCTGCTGCTGCTGCTGCCGTTCATTGTTTGTGTTTCGAAAGAGTTTTAAAACGTTTTGTGCTTATTGTTTTAGCCACTTGTCATGGCATGAATTTGCAAAACTATTTTATTTGGTTGTCTCCTGCCCTTTTAGGCAATTGTAAACAATATATGTTATTCGCTTTCGTTTGTTTGCTCGCTTTCTGATGAATTGTTTATGGGCGTTTGGCTAACGATAAGGGAGAACAATAAAAATTTAATTTTTAAAATATTTTCGTGTGTGCTTTTTTCGGATTTCACATTTCTTTCGTCGCTGATGATGATGATGGGAAATGGCAGCCCATATGCCAAGAGATTTATGACCATACAAAATGGCAAGCGGCTGTCTTGCTCCCAACTCCCCATTCCTCCCCCCCGTAACCCATGAATTATGCAATGAAATTTATTTCATTTTTCCCATATGAGGGCGAGAGCACAAGAGCATTTTTTTAGGACTGTCGGGTTCGTCCACACACTTCTGTTATTGTTATAAATGAGGGAGAAATGATTGTTTAATTTTTGCAAGAAAAAGTAGGATACTTTTAGCAGCTGCATCAAAGATTGTGGAAAAACTTTTGAAAATGAAACAACAATTTTGCTTCAGGAGGTGCTGACACCTTTATCTCTCTCTCTCTTTTGACCTGGCCCATTGTCTTTGGCCACTTTTGTCGCCTGACTTTTCCTCCACTTATTAGTCTGCGTTTTGCAAATATTTGCATACGAGGCACGTTTCAGACATTTTTCTTCAGCTCATTCCCTTTATTTTCTTCTTATTATTATTACTCCTTGCTGCCACTCCGCTTTTCTCAGTTTTCATTTTCCTGTTTTTCGCGTCCTTCGTTAAAGTGTAAATGCGAGATTTCTTTGCACCACATTAGGCAAACTTTAGGAAATGGGTAAAAATATGCAGAACGAAAAGTATTTAAGTCAGTTATGAAATTTTTAATGACGGAAAGTCGGAGTACAAAACATAAATTTGGTGAGACGGTACGGAAGTAACAGAAGTTGTATAAATTTTAAGATAAGAAAAGGAAAATGAAGGAAATATTAAAAGCGTGACTTGCCATTAAAGCCCCTATAAATTAAACAAAATAACAAAAATGTTATAAGCAAATTGTGAAAGTAAAAAATTTATTAAATTCCCAAAAATATAATTTTAATATTTAATAACACATATTGAATAATGCATAAATTAATCAAGAATACACAAAGGAATAAAATTCCTTTCAAAATAAAAATTCTAGGAAATTTAACGATAGTTTTTAAGCTCCTAAAAGCCTTTAAATATGATCGAAGAAACACAAAAAGAAAGCGATGTAAAACACGAAGTTTGTATTGGATCCACTTGTTAAGTATCAAGACGCCAATAAAACTCGAGGCTTGCTGCCCAATTTAAAAGCTGCCTTGACAAGGACACTCCACCGATTGATAGCCCGAACATTTCCAAGGAACTAATCCTGAAGGCGACCCCCATAATCCACTTAATCCGCCGAGCCGAACACGTTGCTGCCTATCAGACAAACGATTTCAGAGGAGAATAAAGGCGCTGCTGTAAGGACATTTGGCAGGCTTCCCCTGTTATCCGCCATCCCCTTTGACGACCCTTGATTGCTGCTGTTTTTCGGTCCCTTCCACGGGCGCCACATCAATTTGTAATTTGTAAATGAAATTGCCTTTTCTCCGGCTCCCCTACTCCCTTCTCTTTTTTTCCTTTTTTTTTTTGCGCCCACCAGAAAAATGCAAATTTGTCAAATTGATTTAAGGCCCGGTGTCGGCCAATTTAAATGCCAAAAATTAATTACACATGCACGCGCACACATGAGTATGGGATTTGGGTTTTATTCTGTTTATTTTTTTTATGGGGTTTTGTTTTGTTTTTTTTAGCTGCCTTCTCACTTGACACTTTTGGGTGTTACGAACTTTGATCTTTGGTAGAAGCGCTTGCCTGATTTATATCACCGCCCGATTTGCTGAGATTCGCACTCGTCCTCGTCGTCACTGGCACCTCACACATTCAGTTGGCAGCTCTGGCCCAAGTCAAGTATCCGCACCGTTGGCCCGCCGCTGAACGAACTCCGCCGCGCTCCCGAGTGAACTGACTTAGGGCGACGAGTTCCGCCAGCAGGTGACCCGAACCTGGCTTCGGCCATCGCCCGAAGCTCGTTCTTATCAGGCACGAAGGATGAGCCGAGAGAGGGCAACGCAGTCGCACAAGAGAGAGCCGGCATTTGTTGGTGAGTGGTGAGTTTTTTTTGAGAACAGCACTCGTTGGTGAACGGACCCATGTGCTGTGGTGAGTGTTGGCTCTTATCAGTAGTGCGTGGTGGGGCAAAATAGCTCTTATCGGAACTCCAGACTGCTGCCCCCTGTTCCACATCCTCTCTGGATGTCTCGTCCTTTGGGCTGACGAATGTGGGCAGGCGTCTGGCAGGAATGTGCCAAAATGTCGGGCAAACAACGTCGCCAAGCTGGTTTTTGTTTGCTCCCGAAAAACCGATGATAAGGCCAAGTCACTTGCCAGTGTGGCGAACTGATTTCTTTGCCACAGAGTGCGTGATGTTAACCAGAAAGTCACTCTTCTTTCAACCAAGTTATCACTTAAGTTACTTATGTCTTCTGCAGTCTTATTAACAAGTCATCGAAGGTAATTATTTTATATTGAATGTACTAACGAATATATAAGAATAATAAAACTTTGAAACTGTAAAAATAATCATTTGGTATTTAAACTTTTATTGTTTTATTTTTCCTGTATGTAGCAAACGATTTAGTTTTAAATAATTGATTTGCCAAAATTTCTTTCCCCTGGGTGTGCAAATATCCTCTAGTTAAGTTTTTGAATAATTAAAGCGGCCTAAACGGATATATCGTTTTAGAATTGTTCACCACAATTCAATAAAAAATAAAATTGTTTGTTTTCTAATGGCAATTTAGAATGTATAAATCTATAAAAGTTTAGAATATTTAATGCCATTTGTTGGAGTTTTATAATTTTGATAGGTGTTTTACTATATTCAATAAATAACGACCTACATGTTTGAGAATTAGTTTACAAACCAATTTGCTTCAGCTGCAGTAAAGGTCTGAGTTTTAAGCCTTTCACTTCGAACCCTACAAATCACAGCTCGAGTGCAACCAGTCACAATTTCCCCCTTCAACCGCTCCATTTCACAAGGATCCTGATGAAGAGCTGCAGCGCGAGGACAACGTGTCCGAGTCATGTTTTGTGCAGTCAGAATGACCAAGCTCCGGACACTCCGGGCACTCCGGCTCCTTCCTCCGATGGCTGTCACCTCGGAACATTCATTCCGACTTTCATGCTCCTGTCAGCCGGAGAGTGCTGTGTTTTGGGCCACTCCATCGCAGTCCGATGCTCGTGGCGATGGCAAAAGGAAATCCATCGCTTTTGCGCGCTTTCCTCGGGGCAAAATCAATGCAGCGGCATGTCAGCCTGGTTTATTGGCTTCCATTTGGACGCTAAGGAGGCCAAACTAATTACCGTGCATAATAAATCAGATCCCTGTCATAGTCTGCCATTAGTTTGACACCGCCACCCTCCTCTCCTGCCCTCTTGACCCCCTTGACTGGCCACTGGTCACCGGGAGAGGTCTTCTAGCATTTATGCAAATTGGCAGCAATGCCCGTTCCCCGGGGCAAATAACGCAGTCGCGGAGTATCGGACTTGGCCCGCTGCCTTCTGCATTATTAATTGCAATTTGTTTGCTATTTTTTCCAAGAAAAGTGTACCAGCAATAACCTAATAATAGTCAAGCACATGGCTCTCCCCTGCTGACCACGCTGACAATCGAGTTTATTTATGCAAAATTAATTGATTTCTATTGAAAACGAAGGGGCAGCGGAAAATGCAATTGACACATTTTCTTGGAACATAATGAGGGGTAATTTATAATCATAGCACAACTGAAAGCTTTTAAAGGAGCCAATTTGCGTTGAAGTTGAAGGGGTGATATTATGATAAATTGTTTACCGCAGGGACTTTTGATTATTCAGCTTAATTTCACTAACTAGCAATTTTAATTTTGGCATTATAACTTTAAGTATGGCACGTTAATACAGAAGGAATGATTGGTTTCTGTTATATAAAAAAAAGTTTAGTGAGGTTAAATACTTTAAACAAAAAGAATTCTCACCTTAGTTGTCTGAAGAAGTTGACTTTCTTGCGCGTTTCGGAAAGATTGTGCATGTGATCATCTAGAAACTTGAAATCGAGGCCGGTAGTGAACTCAAAATCGTTTTTGGGTCTGCGATTAAATACCGGATCAGGTGATTCGGTTTTTGGCACAAGTGGCTTGCAGCGGTTTGGATAAGGTTGAGAATATTGTCGTGTGTAACTTGACAACATAGGGGGTTCCATATTGTCATCGTTATCAGCATTTCCATAACGGGGGCTGTGAAAAATGTTATCAATTAGAAAATTAAGAAATTATATACAGAAAGATAAACTGTAATAAAATTGTAAATCAAGTAATCTGTGCTTTTAACAACGAAACAGTTTAAAGTAAACAAAAACCTTTAGAATCATTTGTAGGAACGTTTGAAGCATCCCTTTTTTTCTCCCAAGCTCGATAATTTTCTACTCACTCATCCATATTGAACGACTCAAAGTTGATCAGCTTTTTCTCCTGCGTGGAAATCGTCCTTAACCCCTTGGCGCCCTCCTCGAGCATCGCCTGCGTGGTGCTCTTCCATTCATCCTTGGTCATTGATTCCCACAGCTTGGTCTTCTTTTTGCAATCCATTTCAGCAGTGATTGTGTTCGAAAAGGTAAGTTAACGATGTGAACGGAACAGCCAGTCGGAATGAAGTTAACTGCGCGTTCATTCTGAGAGGTTTCTCAGAGTGAATTCCTTTCAACCTTTGAGCTTGCTATAATCCCCAGAGCACAAAAACAAAAATCACATCATTAAACAGGCACTGAGTTGCCGGCAGTCGTTGCACAATATTATAAACGCCACAATTGAATTCACAAGCGGATTTATTGTGGGCGGAGGCAAATGGTTTCTGAATCAATAGGCGATGAAAATGAAAATCGAATAGTGGGTCAGCGGTGGAAATGCACAGGAGCCAAAACGAGGTTCTGTGTGCTTAGTGGCCGAAGCGACTACAATGGCCAATAACAATGGCCGATTGGCTCATTGGCGTCTCTCATAATGAGCTGCCACCTCTGTTTGCTCTTGCAACGACATTAATACGGGCTAATTAAACAAATATTGTGTGCATCCGATTGCGAGTGTCTGTGTGAAGGGGTGTGTGCCTGGGTGTAAATCGCTTAGATGTTGTGCGGCGTGATTGCGTGAGTCACGTTACAAAAAAAAAAAAGAGTTTTTGAATAGAATATTTTTGTGTTTACCCTATTTCTCTGAAGGATCCAACTGAATAATGACTGTTTGGAGTACCACAATTAACAACAATTTAAGCTACATTTTATTTTTGAATGGTGTGTGTAAGAAAAATTTGGAATGGAAATGGTAAGATTTAAAATATATTTTATTATGCATTTCCTTAAATGTTTGAATTAATTTATTCTTAAATAGTGATGTTTCTTGTATATCTTATTACATGACTTTAGTAATTATGCAATTAAAAAATTTAAAAATTCCAAGAAGGCCAACTCACGACTGAAATCACGATGGCATCTTCATATCTTGTCCGGGAGTGTATCTATTGCCGTGCTTACGCATATCAGACGGCTTGTATCAACAGTCGACATCGGGTCGTCGATGACACCAAACCGAATGTTGAACAACATAATGCGCTGGCCGACGAGGGGAATCGGCGGAAACGGAAGTGATGCAGAAAATGAACGCATGGAAATCGGGGTGGCGGCAGTGGCGGTCTTCATGTGGCTCATAAATTATGGGGTAGCATTCTGCGTGCGCTGCATTTTGCGGCGCATAATTTGCATTTTTAAGCATTTTCACAGTGCATTGGGCATAATTAAAAACAACGACTCCGAAGCTTTCCAACGCAAGTGGAACTCCAAATTCGATTCTCGCGCCAATTCGAAAAGAGTACGCAAAAAAAAAAAAATATAGAAAACCTAAAGTTATTGAAAGGCACTGTGCTTAAGTGATTATTAAGAAAATTTCATTAATGGTACGGGAAAATGCCCAATATTTTTATTTTGAAAAGATTGTTTTTAAAAAGTGCATACTTTACATAAATTAAAAAAAAAAAAACATAAAATATTTATCAGTTTTAATTGCTTGCTTTCTAACCTTGGAAAAGTGCGCATCCCAATGCAAAGATGTCAGCGGCAGTCAGTTTTCTCAAAGTTTCTCCACCCCCAGTTGACTTTTACAAGGTTTTCTGGGGGCGTGGCCACATCAGCTTCAGGGGCAGGCAGCCGTGGTGCACTTAACAAATTAATGTCAGGCCACAATAAAAGTCAACAGCTGGTTTCAACAGGGGCGGCGAAAGGCAAAGCTTAGTTTTTGAGTCGGGCAGCTTCTTAGGTGAAAGGTGAAAAGGGCAGTGAAAGTGGTGGTGGCACGTGCAATGAACGGAAACCGACACACATAAGTTAAACAAATATACTGCGAGCCCGCACACCCATAAAAATGCAGATGCACAAATGCACAGATGGTCGAGCGTCGTAAAGTCTCCGAGAAAGGGGGAAAAAGGGAAGTGCACCTGCTGCCAAAGTCTGCGAACTCTCGAACGGAGAAGCTGAATCAAGTCCACATATTTAATAATCGAATTCCTCGCATGCACATCATTTTAAATTCACGTTCGCACTTTCATCCACATCCAGTGCACATTCATTCCATACTCACACATCCCGCACTTTGGCACTGCGGATAGAAACTGTCTGCCCTTCTCCCCGAAAAATTTTCCCCAAGCTTTTTATATCTCGCATCTTTAAGCAATTTTTCTCGCCAACTCGCGGTGCCCGAGATTTTGCGCTTGACATATAATTTTTATGAGGCCGGCCAGTGGAGTGGACAAGGGGGATTAAGAGATTAAAATGTAATTAGAATTTTTAAATGATTACAAAAAAAACTGGCCTAGAATATAAAATAATAAAAAAGAGTGTAGAAGCAAAAACTTTGCCTTCTTAATACTCAGGTTTAGTCTTAAGTAATATTCATTTTGCCTTAATAACTTATAAAACTTAACTACAACCCCTGCTCGAAAAGGGAGCGCAACAACTGTGGTAAAACATTTTCTGAATCCTTTCAGTATCCTTTATTTGCGTATAGCAGAAACTTCTGGCACGCACGTCCTCACCAACTTTTGATGGCTGAGGTGTGAAATTTTGCGAGCAGCACGAGGCAAATAGGCATAAAATTATTTAAAACTCGAAGCGAGACTGCACAAAAGGATGCGGCATAAATGCGTGGCAGTTTCCGCTTCACACTCCTCCAATTTATGCGCTATCGCTGAGCAGTTTCTTCCTTGAATTTACCGGGAAGCATCCTTCTTTTGCTGCTCCAGTTTTTTCCAGGCCTTGACGTATTCCTGGTAAAAATCGGCCAGCAAGTGAGGAACTTGTTCCACGGCCACTTCCAAAGGAACCAATTCGGGTTGAGGTAGATCCTTGAATTTTATGTACAGAAACTGCTCCTTGTAGGTGTTTTGTACAATATCCAAAATCGTTTCCACTTGATATCCTTGCTCGAAAGCATTGATCTCGGGTATTGGCGGGAGATTCGAAAGATCTGAAGAGAACTTTTTAAGGGGTTTCTGCACAGTTTGAACTAAAGTTGAGAGCGGCGTTTTCGTTGGCAAGGTGCAGGTTCTTTTGTTTACATGTTTCTAAGGAGGCCAAGGTTAGATTTTTTTAGTAAAAAATTGTTTGAAACATCTACTCACATTGGTTTGCGTAAATGGAGATTTACGTTTTCGGTCTGGTTGTTCCATTTCTTTTAATAAAATATATATATTTTTTATTCTTACTGTTCCTGTAAGTGGAGTGCTATAAACTGGAGCTTAAATCTTTCACTTCTTCCGAGTGGCACTTCATAGCCTGCCCTTCACTGGAAATTCATATGACTTTCGCTTCTGTTGCCAGTTCTCCAAATGAACTTCCTGCGGCCAAAACAACTTCACGGCACTTTGAGCCGGCCCATGGCAACTGGTTGGATGGGGATGGAAAACGGTGGAAATGCAGTTAAATGAGCGGAAATGCAAAATTAACTCGCCACGAAAGCACAGAGCAAACAAAGAAATTGTTGTACAACTAAAAAATGCTCCCCCCTTTTCCCCTTTCCCCCACACACACATTTGCAGAGTGAAGAAAAATGAAGGGGAAATAGAGAATGAGAAAATCAAGTGCCGTGGCACAAAAAACCGTTAAAAAAAACGCAATTGAAAGCAAGTAAAGCTGCAGAACAGAAAAAATGTATAATAGCAGAATAAACGTTGCCACTTGGCCAAATTTAATGCAAATATTTGGCCAGCCGCAAAAGAAAATGTTGTTTTTCCCCTTCCAACCAAGGCATTCATTGCTTTTCACTAATGTGATGGGTTTCTACGAAGGAAAGCGCTGAAATGAAGTGATTAAAGGTGGCATGTATAAAAAATTTAAGTTTGATTAAAGAATATTATAGACGTTAAAAATGGCTTCCAGGCTAATAAAACTTTTTTTAAATAAGTATAACTCTATGGAGTTGTTTTATTAAATTTTAAGTACAAAAGCTGCTTTCAATTTATGTTGCAAGTAGAAAAGTCTCAGCGAAGGAAACCTTCTCCTGACCATAAACCAAATTTTCACGCGCTTTTGCAAAATATATATTTCCGGAAACTCCGCCCGACCTTCTCCAAATTATTCTCCACAAAGAATTCCGCTGAGCTTGATAAAAAGAAGCGGAGCGTTCGAGAATTGTGCATGATTTATCTCTTCTTTGCTTCGTTTTATGCCGGTCTGCTGTTTATTTCCTTGCTGTGACAACGACGCACTTTTCGGGATTTTCGAAATTGTATTTAATTGTTGGGGTAGCCCAACGAGACAGGGGAAGTCCTTTTGGTCGGCATTTAAAATTAAACAAACATTCTGCCTTGCCATGGAAATGACAATAAAAACGGCATCAAATTTATGGCATACCGAAATAGAGAGGTGGAGGAAAAGAAAATGGAATTGAGGGAGGAGGAGGAGGAAAAGGAGGGGGAGAAGCAGGAAAGAAGGAGGAGCACCTCGTTCAGGGCATTTAATTCTCTTGCAACGTCCTTTTATTCCAACTCCATTTTGTCTGTTGTTCACTTTAAAAAAATATAAGCTACTTTTGAATACAAAAATATTGGAGTATATATCGAATTATTTATACATTTAATTATTTATTACAAACTACTCGGGATATGACAATTTATAGATATATTTTAAGGCTTTCTAGAAGTAAGATTTTCTCTAAGTGCACTTTGGCAAGGGGCGTCTGTTAACTTGGCACTGACTTTGGCTTTTTCAGTCGCACTGACTTTGCACAATTAATGGCCACCTTCTGCTGAACCGCTGCCACTCCCCCTTCTTCCGCCCACCCCCTCCTCCTCCCCCTACCCCGTCACCCGTCGACCGTTCCGAATTCCGCGCAATTATTGCTGCCATTGTGTGAGAACCTTTTGCCAAGTGTCTTGTGTGTCATCGTCACCGCTAAATTTAACATAATCCTCGGACGCTTCAGACCGAATGCTGCCCACTCCGGCAGCTTCAGTTGGGCGCCAGGAAAATTGTTGGCAGGCAGCTGACGCGACTTGGCCAGGATGTTACTCGAGGTCCTTTGTTAGCCCTTTTCCGCTGCTGCTCATTCGCCTGCCGCCTTTTCTTCTTGCGCATAATTAATTTCACGTTCTTGCCAAAAATTATGCGACAGGATTTGTTTGCCCACGCTCAGTTTTCCCGTGCCGGGAATTCCTTCACTTTGATTTCACTCCGCCTTGGTTTGTTGTATTTGTTTTGCTTTTGCTTTTTGGCAACATCTCGCCAGACGCCTTGAAAACTTGAATCCTCCGACGAACCATCAAGCTGGCCAATTGTGCTGCAAAGTCAGCTTAAAATAAAAACTTCCTGGAAATAATCTGTGTAAACGGCTAAGCCATTTTAAATGCAGAAAATGCCATTGTCAAGTCCCAAAAGTTGAGTGCAGCAAAACGATTTTCTTGAATAGCTTAATAGTTTTATTTTAAAGTCGTTTCCATAAGAATTTTAACGCCTCTTTGATCAACAGTAAATTTTTGTGTTTTTAAGACTAAATTAAATATAAATAATATTCATCTTTTAAAGTAAATTTAGGTACTTCCAATTTAGAAATATTGGTTCCTTCGTATATGTAAAATATTTAATTTGAAAGCCATACCGAATCAAATCAATGGGGATACTGGTGCATTTGAAATGCAAACAAGAGTCCAACCAGACAAACACCATCAAAAATGCATGTTTATTGATGGCATGAAGTTCAATCTTGCAAATTTCCCTGAATAAGTTTAAGCACTCGCAATCCCGTAATTCACGTTTGGGCATTTATAATTGTTTTGCAGCTACAATCGATAACAATTTAAATCCATTGCTGCCAATAAACAATTATTGCAGCCACCAGCAAAACAGAGCTTCTGCCCAACTTGCCACCGATTTCCCAGCCAACCAGGCTCAAATGGGTTCTAGGCCATCAGCCCCATTAGCCACAGAGTGGTAGTCGCATATAAGCCGGCGGACATTTGGCCAGACTCGTTGAGCTTTTTATCTTCATAAAAACGCCGCCAGACAAAACACACATACGGAAAGAGATGGCAGACGGACTTACCAAAAACGAAATTCATTGCAAAAATGTTCAAAAATTGGCGAACGAAAAATTCTGTGAGAATTCAGGGGGGAAACTGTAGGGTGGGCAATCCATCGAGGAGCACTAAATAAAGTTTGCACTGAAAAACTATTAGGGAGTCGGCACAAAAAAATTCACTTAGAATGTCACAGAGAAAAAATAACAATAGACCAGCAAAAAAAAAAAAGGAAAAGGAAAGTTTATCCACCCATGGAAACTCGTATTTGCAAATTCCAAAAGAGGCAATGAAATGGCAACCGACTGGATGGGATTGGATTCGAGGAATCCGAAGGGCTTTTCGGAGAAGAACAGACCGAAACAGGAAATTAAAATCGAATCGTGTGTGCTTTGAATTGTGCATCTTCCATTCGAGGACGTGTATCTTTGTATCTGCGTATCTGTGCATCTGTGCGATAAGTAGACGCCCCAAACACCAGAAAGTGTTTAATTTGATAGGGCCCCAGGGATTCTAAAGCGGGAGGGGGGCGGTCAAAAAGTTTTCGCCGTTACCTTGACTTCCAGAATTTATGTGCAAAGTTTTTCCGCGTCTGCGTCTGTGTGTGCGTGGCCAAATTATGCAATTTTAACGCATAAATTTCATGACTCGCGACCGGCGGCCATTGCAGGGAGGAAGCTCCAGGATCCAGATTCCAGTTTCGGTATCCAACTCCAGTTTCAGTTTCAGCTCCGGCTTCCTCTGCCACAGTTCCAGCGGCAACTTTGGCCCCAAGTTCACACAACTGCGACTGTCTAATTAAAGCGTCCAGCTGCCGGAACATCTTTCCTGGCCCAGAATCGGTCTAACCCTCATTTCCCTCCGCGATGCCAGTGCAACTTAAATGCAGCAACCAAAGTAGGTAAAACCGCTTTTATAGCCCCCAGAAGGGTATAATAACTAGTATAGAAGGGTTGATCAGGGAACCTAAAGAGTTTACAAATATTTAATCTGAAAAAGAACGATTAAACCGAAAGAACATGTTGGCAACTTTGTTACATTTAACAATAATTAAAAAATACTGTTTTAAAATTGGTCACTGTGGTTTTTAGTTACCCAATTTTCGAAACTTTTTTACTACGCTCAACTAGAGGAAACCGTCCCTAATGAAACCCAGCCAATCTGCTCAGATATTCATATATCCCGCCAGTGCATTAATCAACTCCAAGTGTATTCCATCTTCGTCTCGTCGCGGGTCTGCTGATGGCGGAGTTTGGTCTTGGTCCCGGTCGTAAATATAAAAGTTGGCATCGCTCCCCGGAGACAAATCAGTTTGATTTTGATTGCATCTTTTACGGCCTTTGGCACCTTATAACTTTTTCCGGCTCACCTGAGCGACCCGTGAATTCTGAAGTGGCGAGGAAACCGGCGACACAGGTCCGAACAGAAGCCCCAAGCAGATGTTGGGTAGAGTTTCTATCACGGCGACGCTTGTCTTAATCCCAACCAATTGCACGGAAAGAAAATAAGGTAGAAAAGTAAAAGGTTATCAAATAAAAAAAGCACTAACAAAATATACAGCTATTCCCCAATAAATATTCTCATCTGCAACTCAAGCAAAATAAATTATATAAATTGAATCCCTAAACCAACAGATTACTTTAATAAACTCTCTATCTTTTCAACGATACCTTTATTGCTTTTATTTTCGTTTAAAATATTTCTCCCAGTGCTTATTTCTCTTCTCCTTTCCGCTCAACTGCAGTTTGGCATCATTGGGCCATGTCCTGTATGTGTTTCGTCATGTTTCGCAGCTCGTCCTTTGCCGTTCGTCTGCTTTTACTTGCCAGGATAAGCTCGTAAAACTTTTTGTAAGCCAGGAGCGAGGGAAAAAACTTGACTTTGTTTATTTGTTGTTTCGCTTTTTTCAGCCTTTGTTTGCCGGAAGTTTTATGCGTGAGCCGCAAGGTGACCAAACGGCATGGAGAACAAGGAAAATTAAGGACTTTAATGAATCGTCGGGGAGCGGTTGAAACTCCTATAGGCAAACCAAAAAAAAACAAATATTTAAGGCGGATGGAAGAGCTAAAAAAAGTCTCGCACAAAATGCTTTTACAATTGAAATGTCAATAATGTTTTATGACATTGCAGCGACGGGCCCAAGTAAAACCGACCAAGATGAACCAAACCATCAACCCCGGAAAGTATTTTCATTTGCCTGACAAATCTTGACATGCAACAGCAATCAAAAGCGACGGC